TATGTGCTTTTTTTAAACCACTTCGGCATTGAACTTGCGTTTGCCATGTGGCGATAATGATTAATGAACTTTACAACACGGAACTTGGCGCAATACTGTAAGGTAAATTTTATGCACGTATAGATTTTATCTTAAAGCGAAGTTTAAAAACAAATTCTGACACCGGTGGCTTATACAAAAATTAAAGAAGTTTGTCAATAAGTTTGATATTATTAATTCATATTGTAGCGTTTTTAAATAAAACGAGCGGTTCTAATTTATATAAATAAATTTATTTATAAGTTTACAGCACGAAAATATCTTATCAACTAAACTTAACTCATAGAAGGTATATTTATATATAAAAGTTATTTTGTACTAGAATATTCTGGCGTAGTCCACCTCTAATTCGACCATCCTTAAACTTCCCTCTCGTCAGTAACCATCAGGTCTGGTCATCAAAATGTTCTCACTATTACCAGGTATTGTTACGTCAGAAGCAATTTTTAAGCTAATAACATCTTTGTCTTCATGAAACGGCAACTCTTCACCACTGATCTCGAGAACTTCATCTTTGACATTCAATACAGCCCCAACTTTCCGTAGTAAATCCATCCCCAATATGAACTCATCGGAGATCTCTGCAATTAATACTCTATGTTTCACTGTTGTCTGGCCAATGGATACTGACATATTAGCCTCGCCATATGTATTAATTATCTCACCAGTTGCTGTTCTAAGCTTTACTGTTGCAGGCGATAATGATAAGATGGCTTCGTACTACTTCTGGACGTGCAATAGTTCTTGTTGCACCTGTATCTACCAAAAACGATCTACATTTATTATTGATACGACCCTCGATGTACAAGCTATGAATTCTACCGGAGGACGTAATGTTCATAGTTACTATGGGGGCTGAGTTTCTCGAGGTCGGCAGTTGTCACTTGGTGTCGAGCCGTTCTAATTTTCCGACTGTTGTATCATTTTCTTGCAATTACGGCGAATGTAACCTCCTCCTCATCAGTCCTAATCCCTTTTGGGATGTGGTGACACCATCAGGCGTTTACAGTTTTTTCACGATTTCCCTCCATCCTTCTCTGTCCTGGGCTAGTTGTTCGGCTTCATGAATGTAACCTACGTCACCACAATTCCAACACCTGGACTCGCGTCTCTTCGGCATCGTGTTACAAACTACTTTTTGTACCATTTCTTCCACACGTTCATCGTTTGCTTCGTCGCCTTTAATGGTTCTTACTCGATGGCTCTTCATCTATAGCGAGCACTTCATCTAAAACTTTCGGTCTTGCTAGTCGTAAAGCTTTCTGTAATTCATTGTCTTTTAACCCATTGACGAAGATATCTACAGCAATTTCTTCCAAAATGTTGTCTGGTGCCCCTGGATAAGCTAACTGCACTATACGAGCAACATCTGCTTCAAACTCTTGCAAATTTTCACTTGCTCGTGGAATTCTTTTTCTTAGTTGCGCCTTGTTGTAGATGAGCATCTGTGTAACGTTTGTCTAGTCTAGTGAACAAGGTCTGGTAACATTTTTATTGGCCCTTAGTAATCGATCTTATAATATCCGCAACTTCACCTCGTAAAGATATATGGACCAAGAAGACTTTCCATCAAATGGTGGCAATTTGAATCTCATATGATATGTCGTTTCATCTCTAGGAGATTCTTCTTTCACTACCGGATCTGGAACTACTGTATTAACTGGTGGTAGCACTTTCGTATTAGTTATCATGGTCTCTAATTGTTTGATCTCTTCTATCTTGTCGTTTACATTTTTCTGTATCTTAACTAATGTTGAAACTTCTTCAAATTTCTCATTGTTTTGAATACATACTTCGTCGAATCTTCTAACATATTTTCGAATTTCTCGTCGTTTTGTATAGCTGTTTTTTTTTTTAATAATTTGAGACGTTTCATCATTCTTTCTAGAAATTTCTTTTATTTTCATTAAAACTGCTTCTTCTGCTGATTTAAAATGGAATGTCTCTGGGTCATCTCCATTCTTGTTGAGAACATTCTTTAGTCGTTCTTGGACCCGCTACAGTCTTCATCGCGTTCTTCTAGTTACTCACGCAACTGTTTTACTGAAAGTTTGTACTAGCAGCATCTTTGGTCAGGCACACACGTACTTTTTAAATGTTCTTTTTTTTTTCAAAGATCACTAGCCAACTAAGCGGTTGTTCCCGACGAACAATACTTTTCAAAAGTTCAAGTCTTTTTTTAGCAATCACTGCAGAATTTATTTTGAAACCCCACACCTAACACCACTGTAGCGTAAAACGAGCGGTTTTATACTAGAATATTCAGGGTAGTCCACCTCTAATTCGTTTGCTTGACGGGTCGATCTCTCCCGCGATAGATTCATCTGGAAGCATCTCGTCATCTCGCAACCGTTATAAGGGCTACGTCGTATGCATGTTCGTAACAGTAGATATGTTACGGTAAGAGTAGATAATTTGCTAATTGTATACAAGTCGACGGTAAATGTAGTAAATATTCTTATTTCCTACTTTTACCGGTAATTGTATATATTTACCAGAGGATCTTGGTAAAAGTAAGAAATTCAATTTTTAACAATCGACATGCAAGCACAAGGCCTTTGTTTATCTCGTACATAATCAGTCTTCAGTGAGCAGTGTTGATTGAGACATCAAAAGTGTTTCTATCCTGATTTGGAATGTGCTTGGTGTTTTTTAATTAACAATAATGTTACCTACCTATCTTTGAAGTATTTTCTTTGCCGACATAAGGTTTTGTGTTAATATAGCTACATACATAACTGTACATTACATTATCCTAGAACTGATTATTTTTTGTTAACAATGGAAGAGAGTTTTTATACTAAAGTTGAACGGGGGCTCCTTTGACACCGTCCGTGTAGCCGAATAAATATATCGGCCGGGTACAAGTAATTATAAGGTTTCGGATTATTCCTCCCACTTGGTATATTTCCATTAAGCGGTGGTTCTTTTGTTTATGTATATTTAAATAACCTACTCTTACTCAGTAGAAATGTATTTAAATTATAAATAGTATACCTTTAAATGGGTTGATAGACAACACAATAATTACTATTTATTTGCTCGTTGCTTGTATAGGAAATATTATCACTTACAGTTATTGTTAACACGTGATCGGATGATTCACCATGCGGCTGTTGAAACTTCTCAGCTCGACAGTTAAACCTAAAAAAGAGTAATTCTGTGCAATTTTTCGCAGAATCAAATTTTGGTCCGTGCCAAAGGGCGGTCAGGGGTAGGACGTCGGAGCGCTGTTGCCAGTTTGGATCAAATCCTAACAAAAGTACTTGAAATGATAAATAGTAAACAGTACAATACAATTTTGCTTACAAAAGAGAAGTACCAAAGTTTATTAAACAATATACCTACATGTAAGCAAATCTAAAACTAGTAGTAAAATACCGGATGACTACAACCGGTTGAAAAAGTATGATGGTCATGAAGGTTGGAGAAACTGAAAAACTGGTTTGCACCTTAAGAAAAGATGAACAGAATGATTATCTATTGGGCATAGAAATGAATGTTGAAAGATTTACAACAGAAATAAGTACAAGAACATAACTGAAGAAATCATAATGATCTATTTGGGGATCTGTGTGAAACTTGCTAGAAAAATTCCAAAGTTCTCAAAAAAGATTTAGTAGTAAAACCTATACTGTCAAAAAAATGAATAGATGTCAAATAAATTTGATACCATATATAAGATATCGAAGAATGTGGAAAATATATTGGACACAAAACATAACAAATGCGGAAACGCTACAAAGAATGAAAAAAGATAAAGAAATACTCAACACTATAAAGAAAAGAAAAATGAGCTACTTTGGTCACACACACAAATTGATGCAACTGGTCATACAAAAGGAAGGTGGAAGGCACAAGAGGACCAGGGAAGAGTTGCACATCCTGGTTGAAGAATCTGAGACAATGGAGGGGGAAAGTGTCAATTGAACTTTTCAGAACGGCTACAGATAAGAGTCAAACGGGCCATGATGATCGCCAATGTCCTAGGGATGGGACACATTAAGAAGAAGATGGAAGCCCAAGCAGACAATTCATTCAAATTCATTTTTATATACCAAGATCACTGGACAAAATTTGTACAATTACGTCCGTTGAAAACTAAATGTGCAGAAGAAGTTGCATTAGTTCTTCTGGACATATTTTGTGCTCTTGGAGCTCCTAGCATTTTTAAAGTAACAGTGGACGAGAATTGTCCAACAGAATTATAGAAGAACTGTGCTTCATTTGGAAAGATTTGAAGATAGTACAGATTGTAAGTGGTCAGAGGGTCGAATTGTACAAATCGCCAAAAACCGAACGTACCATTCTGGCATCAAGTGCAGTCCGTAGCAAGCTATGTTTGGGGTCCCAGCCAAAATTGCTTTGAAAACTTCATCATTGCCAGAAGATGTTCTAGAAAATATTTCTACTGAAATATCTTATCGGTTTGAAACAGATAAGGAGACACGAAATGCAGTATCAAATTTTGTAATCTTGGATGCAGCGATTGATACTGAATTGAATTTGAAGTGTGTGCATGCAATTATGTCATTATAAGGCTTATACAACATATTCTTGTGATTAATTACGTGGGTTTTAGGAACAAATAAAAAGACGCAAACGTTATTTCTAGCAGTATATTTAAGAAATATATAAATAAAATTGAATTATTTTTAATTGTTACAAGTTATACAGTACATTTAAAAAACACACATTTTAAATTAGTTTGTAAACTTCTAATTACAGAAAATAATCACGAGACATCTTGATACAAAATTTAGATGATACAAGAATACAACAAATAATGTTTGTTGATTTGCTCTCGGCATTTTTATGTATACCAAACTGCAGATGGAAATTTAAATCTATATAAATACTTAATAACGAGTTTATTAATTTCGTCTGCAAAATAAAGAAAAATATTTGTCGTTATTTCCATTAGATTACCTTTATGTAGCAAATTAACCATTTCTTAAGTTTCAGCAAGTTCTAGCTAACTTTGTTAGATGTCTTTGGACATAAAGCAGTTGAGCACTGCTTTCCAACTTGGTCAGTTCTCTGACAATGGGCGCCATCTGCGCGGTGTGATTTTCATAGAGGGAGCCCAGATTTCTTCGCTTTTCTCCATAAATAACTTTACCCTCGAATTCGTCTTGTGGTACCTCCATGTCGGGTCCGATTTGCTGAATGGTAATATTCAAATGTTCTTCAATATCAGCAATGAACTAAAAATAAATCAATTAGAATATGACGCGAAAAAAGCCTGATAATAAACCGACGATAATATAACAAGGTTGTAAACTATAGGTAATGGATTTTGGGAACAGCTATGACCTTGAAAATGCCACAAAGAATATAACTAAATATCTCTTTTCTTATTCATACTCTTTAAAGTATTTTACAATATTTTAGAATCGAAGATATGTAATTATATTATTAATGTATTGGATTTTGACAAGAGCTATGCATTATGCCTATTTATTACACAAGTTTATGTGAAATGTTCAAGGTCATAGCTGTTCCCAAAATCCATTACCTATACTTTCTTGTGGTACGGATTCTTTTTTTATGGGATTAAGCCCCAATTATTGGTTGCGATTGTGAATAAAATCACATTTTTAATTAACTAATATTTGTAGTTTCGATTTTCACTCCGGAAATCTACTTCTTCTTCTTTTTATATAGACATGACTCTGTCTGTTTTTCAATGTGCCTCCAGTAAGTTGTCGTTCCATCGTTTTATCCGTCAAATCCGTTTTGCCTTAGATAGTATTAAAAAAAATTAAAGAGACCTTCTCTCCAGTTCAAGATTTGGCAACTGACGAAAGCTTGATCTTATTCAATGGTCGGCTGAGTTTTAAACAATATATCCCTGCTAAACGTAACCCATTTAGTAAAAAACTATTTGAAATCTGCGATGTCGAAACAGGCTATGTTTTGAATTTCGTTTTCGTCGTCTACATCGGCTCACAAACAGATCTTGAAAGAACCAACATACTGGGCATCAGTGGTAATATTGTCGTTACCCTGATGGTTCCATATTATAATAAAAAACATATTTATATATTGACTATTGGTATACTTTTGGATTATCTTCTAGAAAAAGAAACTGGAGCTTGTGCTACTGTGAGATCTACAAGACGAGGAATGCCACAATTTGGTCCAGTTGAAAAAGGGGAACGGAGAAATTTCATAATTGTATGTAACCGATTAGTATGTAATCCTTCAGATAAATTTTCCGATAACTAGTTATCAGGAGATAACAAGACCGGGCATTAGAAAAAAAAAATCAAAAAAACGATATTCAGAAAGTACGGCTTTGATTGAAAATAATGTCTTATCAAAATGACGAAAGATAAAAACTGTCCTAAAGACTCAATCATATAGCTACTTTTAACACATTTAATAATTAAATAAAAAAGCTATACCTGTGGTTCATTGTACCATATACAGCATCCCTTAGGTTGATTATCGATTAAATTGGTATTCCAGCAGTTTCTTCCTCTTGATGAACACCATTCACCGTGGTACCACACCTAAAATATAAATAAAATATTCGACAGAGACACTTTTTAAATGATATTTAATCTCCTAATACGTACTTTTTCTGGTACTGTACTAACTAAACTTATGGCAAGACCCATTCTTTCAGCTCTTCCTACACGTCCAATTCTGTGCACATAGTTGGATTTTTCATCCGGCAACGTGACATTAATCACTGAAAAGAAAATGTATTTTTAGTGAAATTTATTAACAGTCTAATATATCGTCGCCGAAGAACCAGAACCGCCTAAGTAACATTTTTCCCCAAAATGTACTTTACGGTTCCTTTACATAGATACATCTCTTCTGCGTCATTTGGCTTGAAAACATCTAATTTCGACAAACGACGCGCCCTCCAGTGACGCTATTTTAATACCACCTATGTACATTCTGTTAAAAATATATGTTCTCCTGTCAAATAGGTGTAATATTAAGGTTAGGTTGTATCGCTCCATGTTTTGTGCCAAATTACAAGCGAAAAATGGTTACGATAGCCTTTTCTCGAATGCTGAACTAATGACTGCATTTGAGGAATATTAATCAAATATGAAGAAAGGTCGTAAAGGGTACAATATTAAAGAATAGAGAGAAATAGAGAGAAAACTCCTAAATTGCTGTTCTCATCTCCGGGAGCTTCAAAATCTGCAGATTTTTCGTAGACAAGGGAATTTTAACACAATAAAGAAATCCTTTGATCAAATATACTACAATCCAAGATTAAATTAAAAAAGGACAAGACAAAGAAAGAGCCTTAAAAGGTGAATCAAATGTGTTTACGCAAGATCTTCTTCTTCTTCCTTTGCCCTATCCGTTTCGGACGTTATCTATTAACAAGGCTATTTTGACTTTGTTTACGGCACCTCTGAACAGTTCGGTCGATGTTAGTCTGAACCATTGTCACAGGTTATGCATCCATGAGTGTCGTCTTCTTCCCGGTCCCCTCCTACTGTCGATTCTTCCTTGGACTATTAACTGTAGCAGCCGGTACTTAGTATGCCTCATGGCATGTCCGAAGTACTCAAGCTTGTGTTTCTTTACGGTAAAGATTATTTCTTTGCTTTTGCCTATTCTCTGCATTACTTCCACGTTAGTGATATGGTCTGTCCAGATATCCGAAGAATACGGCGATATATCTATCCACAGCTCAAAGGATTCTAGTTTCTTCAGGGTGGCTTCCGTTGTGGTCCATGCCTCTGCTCCATAGAACAAGACCGGGAAGACATAACACTTGACCAGTCTTAATTTTAGTTCCATTGAGATTTTGCTTGTGAACCACTTTTTCATATTGTTGAACGCGTTTCGCGCTTTTTCAATTCGTGATCTTATTTCTGTTGACTGGTCAAATTTTGCAAGATCTTCAAACTACTAAATTAGCTCCGATGACTCAAGCAAGTGCATTTTATTACAAGGAAAAGTTAAATTTACATAACTTTACCACGTATAACCTACACCACAGCCACCTTTACTTCCAAGCCATGAAGTAAAAAAGGCAACACCGCATTCTATGACGTCGGTAGTCTGATAATCAGCTGTAAGGTCTAGCAGAATATTAAACTAATTTGAATTTTAGGAAAACTGATATTTTGAAAACTTCAATTCATTACAGAAATATTTTTAGGGAAATTAAATTAATAAAACCTTATATATACCTAGTAAATATATATAAAGTTTTATTATTATTTAGGTCATATTATCAATAAAATAATCACTAGAGTAAAATTTATTGCACTTAAAATACAGTGTCAAACAGTTAATCTTACAATCAAATACAGTCAAGAATCTCTAGAAATTTTAAAACACAAAAACTTAGTGTAACTATTATGATTAAAAAATTCATCCTAAGAAATCAGACACAATATAAATATGGTTCTAAATTAATCTAAGTATTGAAAATTAAATATTTTACTATTTACTTATAACTTTTGTTAATTTTCATACTTAGATATACAAAAGTAGCAATTTTAAATATGAATAGGTTTGTTGTCATATAGACCAAGTTAAAAGAGGTATACATGAAAAATGTGTTGAATGTAACATACCATTTATAACTTGTATATTGATTTAAAATAGCCCATATTCTCAAAAGATTTTTGAATGTAATACTCAAATTTGTTATCACTTATCTAAAAAGCAGATCTAAATGAGAAAGTAAGTTCTCTAATTGTGACCATCTTGTTAATTTACTGTATTGTAAAATCCATTTCAAATCATTACCACAATCTATTCTTACCTACATTGACGATTACACTAAAATTACTGCTAACTATTACACTACATATTACACAAATATTATCACACTTGTGTCCTAACTGATTAATGTTTAATACATAGAAATATACACAGTCACTTGTAATTTTACTTGTCCAGTTTTTCAATGGGATATTATTTTATTGTCTAAGTCTAATTGACATAATTATGTTATCTCTTGTTCCCTCTTCTTATGCAAAAAGTTTCTTCTGTCTTCGGGATTCCTTCTTTTTTAGTACGATGAACAGTTACATATGATGGTACTTCAGGAAATATATTAGGAACTGCATTGCCTTTTAATTTGGGAAATATTAACTTTTCAATGTGTACATTTCCATCTTTATCTTCTCATTGTTCAGTCCGCTGAATATCATCTTCATGAAAATGTTTGGTACATACTAGGGAAGATTTGGTAATTGTACTTTCTGCCTGTTTCGTTTTTAAAGTACTGGCATAATTGGTTTTGCAACCAGGTACACAACAATGCCAGAGCATCTGTAACAAAAAACAAAAGTATTATTATTGTTGTTTTTAGTTTACATATTTTGAAACAAGAAGCAAAAGTATTATTATTTTCAGTTTGTTTTGTAGGTTATATTTATACTTGCCTTTTAAATTGTCGTTAAGAATCTTCTAAAAGTTCTAAATTTAATGAAATTTCACTTATATTAATATTTTCCAATTTATGTAAACACAATTTACAAATAAAAACATTCGAATAAAGTTAAAAAAACAATAAATTCAACAAACTTTACAAGCCTTCCTATATGAAATGTTAAACCAAAACAAACCACAGTCGGACTACCACGCGTTGTTGCCAAATTTCTACTTCATGGCTTGGAAGTAAAGGTGGCTGTGCCTACACACTTATGACGCGGTTTGTTACTGGTTCGACAAAATTGGTACCCTCTTCATTTGCTTCTTGCATTATACATAATTTGGAAAACGCTTTGCAAAGTTATTCTTTGGTTGGATGGCTGTAAATATCAAAACAGAAATACAGTTTTATCTAACTCACTGCTACATTTCAGTAAAGAATGGAATATTACAATCGAGCAAAAATTTTTGACCAAGGGACATACGCAGATGCAATGTGATTCCGTTCATAGAGCGATTGAAGCAAAATTAAAAAAATCGAGATATCTCTTCCCGGTCAGTATTCTGATATTACTATACTATAATTATTCTTAGAATTTTTTTAATTCATGACTCCATCAGACCAGATAGTTCAGATGGTGATCCAACCGTAGTGGATATTAAGTCCATAAAATATAGTAACGGAGAAATAACTGTAAAACGAATTTTGATGACTATTTTGACTATTCTGCTTTACCAAGAAGACCAAAAAAATCATTCATGATAATTCACTCGCAAATGAATTTTAAACCAAGAGAAGCGAAATTTGACCTATTCCAAATGAAACAACTTTCAAGAACTTGTTTTAACGCATGATTGTCATTCGTATTACGATCAGCTGCCACATGATCAAAAGGATAATTAGAAAATTTTTTTCATTGTCAATATTATTTTCTGTTTAACAAATAAATACCTCTTTATTACTTTGCTATAAATTATAATACAAATAACGCCTAAGTAAACAAATCAAAACAAACTGCAATTATGTAATTTCGCTAAAATAATTATAAACCCTTTTAAACAATCAAGAACTTAATCATTTAGGTCAAAATTGTGTTATTTTATTGATAACTTTGATGACTAAATATGAGCACTTCAGTTAAGGACAATTTTCATAAACCATTTATCTGTAATTCTTTTTATAGAAAATGTCAGTATTATGTAGCCGAAGATATGAACGTTTTTTCTAAAACGCAGTCTTGGTTCGCATTATCACATCTTTTGTTTTCATTGAAACTCATCTGGCAGTGCCAACTGAGAGAGAAAGGCGTAAGAAAACTTACCATTTAACACATTGGAACAGTTAATAAACAAATGTTTCTGGAAGATTGCTAGCCAAGTAGCTACACAGAGTAGTGTCTATTTTGTCATCAAAGGTAAATGGCGATACGAAGCAACACAATTCTGTTAAGTGAGATATTTGCTCAAGAATTCAGACTATCTTTCTCTGAGTTCGACTTCGGTTCTGACACTCCTTAATGATTCTCAATAAAGACGAAACATGTAGTATAAACGAAGACAGACTTTTAGAGAGGAAACTGTTAGTTGAAGGAGTTAATATAAAGGTTACTGCATATTACCTAAAATTTACTATAATACTAATATAAATAATAGTAAATAATAATAAATAATTGAGATTATTAATAAATGAATAAAAAATTTTATCGAAGCGAACTTTATTAATACTTACTAAATGGTAGGCCAGTTATATCAAGTCCTCTAGCTGCGACATCAGTACAAATCAAAAATTTTACTTTGTTGTTTTTGAAAGTTTCCAAATTGGCTTTTCTTTCGTTAGGTCTTCTATCACCGTGTAAGCACACACAGGAGTAGCGATTTCTATCGATCAACTTCATGTACTTTTCCAAATTGTCACAGTCCAGTTTTGTACGACAGAAAATAATAGCTCGGTCCATGTTATGTTTGTCTATGGCTCGAATGCAGTATTCGCCTAAAACCATTTATCGTTTTATGGTATTTTGACAGAAATAAGAAAATATATTAAAGATTAAAAGAAGTATAACTTTCACTTACATATTTGTAAGTGTGTTTAACAGAAAAAAAAATAGTAAATAGATCGGTAACGAAGAATTCAATTTTAAATACGATATACAGTTTGTCAAATCCAGAAACAAGTTTGAAAATCTTACAATCGTAATATTACGTGGTCGTAAAAAGTGGCACCTATGTAAACTTGTTTTTTGTTAAATAAGGTTTGTAAAATAATTTTCATTCAGCCACTCGTTGAAGATGTGTTGGAAAATTTATAAAAATACCCTCTTCTATGGCGCCATTTTTCTGTACGAGATAAGTGAATGCTGATACATTTTTTATACATAATGAGTATAAAAGGCTCATCAGGTCTTTTGCACAGCCGCTTAGGCATAGGCTCTTAAGGCAGGTCATATAGAAACCTTTATCGCGAATTTCTGAGCCCCGGCAAGGAGAACAAAATTTATTTTTTGCCAAATCGGCGGTTGAGTGACCGAGCACACACATATTTCAGACAGAGGAAAACCAACTTAGGCTGGTGGCACTCTGTTCGAAACACACACTTTTTTAGGGACTCAAATCCCGAAGTCATGGTAGAATAACTTCAATAAATACAGTAAAGTAAATAGGGAGAAAATCCGACTTTTGTGCTACCCCTACAGACATGGTGGTCTAACCACAGTCAAGAAAAACAGACGGTGTTCCATTACCCAGGACGCTGTAGTAACGATCAGTTCATACTGAATATGTCCTATTTTGAATGTCACGTTTTATGTCAAGCGACATCTTGACTGACACATAACTGTTACGTCATTCCTACATTTTACGTCCTTTGTCGAATGTCACATCCTACGTCTAATGTCACGTCAATTCACGCGACATTTCACGTTCTGCGTCGAATGTCACATAAATGTCACGTCCTGCGTCGAATGTCACGTCATTTCACGTTCTGTGTCGAATGTCACATAAATGTCACGTCCTGCGTCGAATGTCACGTTATTCACGCGACATTTCACGTTCCGCGTCGAATGTCACATAAATGTCACGTCCTGCGTCGAATGTCACGTCATTTCACGTTCTGTGTCGAATGCCACATAAATGACACGTCCTCCGTCGAATGTCACGAGACATTTCACGTTCTGTGTCGAATGTCAAATACCTGTCACTTCCTGCGTCAAATTTCACATAACTGTCACGTCCTGCGTCGAATGTCACGTCCTACGTCAAAATCAGACCAATAGCAACAAAGATACGTTTTAGCGCCCATTTGGCAACGCCGCCATCTTTGTTTTTTGTCTCCCCGCCTTCTCCCCGTTCCAACGAGCCCTCGTACGCCCCAATCGGACCAATAGAAACGAAGATACCCAATAATGACCTTTTGGCATGCTCCGATGCGCACTGGACATATTTCATTCAACCCCATTTTTCATCCCCTTTCCAACGAGCCCTCGTACGTCATCCTACGTTAAGCCGTTTGGCATTTGCAACCGGGGGTTGCGATTTTAGGGGTTGCAATTTAGGGGTTGTGCTCAGATTCTTGTAGCCTATCTACTAGCCTCCCCACGTAAGTCACACGTTGGCGAGGGGTGAAGGAAAAACTAGGGGTGTCGGATAGGTACCACTTCATAGCGAAGTGTGACCGGTTTGATCTTCGGACATGTAGGTCCTACTGTACAATAGTACACACATGTTCCTTGGGGGAAGAGTTGAACATATGTGTGTGTGTGCAAAGTTTTTCCTTGTATTTTTCATATGTTTTGAAGTTTGACACTGACATCCATTGTGTACAATAAAAACAAAAATGGACTTAAAATACTGCCTTCGGAAAGTTCGAGTAAATAGTTTTAACCGGTAAATCAATTTACCGGTTAAAACATCTTGTTCAACGTTATCAAATGCCCCTGTAGTATCGATGAAATATGCCATAGTCATGAGGTTACGAGTAAGTACAGCTAAAGTATCTATTACAATTACTGTTTATGCTTCCAATGTTGATCTAGATTTTCTGAATCCATATTGTGTATAGGTAGAATATGTTCTTTTTTTAACCGTTGCTCAAGACGAAATTTGATAAGCCTCTCGAAGGTTTTCAACACAGATGAAGCTAATGATATGGGTCTATAAAAGATTGGAATGGAATCCGGTTTGTCGTGTTTTTTATTGAGATAATAATAAAATCCTTCCAATTTTCAGGGATTGTTATTGTTATGTTGTTTGTTCTGTCCATATTACATTATAAAGATTTAAGAGAGATTTTTCCGATTTATTGACAAATTATAAAGCATTGAATATGACATATCTATGCCAGACGAGCTATTGTTGGTATGTTTGATAGATCGTTCCAGTTCTCACGACATTGTACAATATCGTGAGAACACAAAGTTAAGTCAATTGCGCTTTTACTACTTAAAGAAACTAATGCTAAAGATCCGGTGTTTAGGAAAACCAGACTACATTGGTTTATTGCATCAGGTTACATATTTCCATATGTCATTAAATTCACAACTCTAAGAAACAAGTTGGGCATTAAAATTACCTGATATTACAAAAAGTTTGTGGTACATTGTACCACAAACTACGTAGAAAAATAATCACATAAAATTAAGAAAATAATGCGGATAGTATAATGTTTGCCTCACAGTAAGCGATGAAGCAAAACTAAAAATTATTTAAAAATAATATTTTTATTGATTTATCTATATAATTATTCGCCTGGAGTGGGTCTAATTATTAATAATTATTCTGCTGTGTGTATAGTGACGTATACATTAATATATATTCATATATACGAATATTTTCTGAACTTTATGAGTAAAACGCGTTTTTTTAATGTATATAAATTTTACTAAAACATTTTTTTAATGTTCTACATACCTTTTAATAATTTGACTGCTTCACTCAATGTTTCGGGACTATTATTGCCGGGCCTAACGTTATCTTCGTTGTGCACACCGTCTGTATTAATATGTCTTCTTAAAGTACCCCACGACTTGTCCTTTTGGGGATCTACAGTTACTACAACATGATGAACTGTTTCTGGAACCGCATCTTCTCCTTTTAGATCGACCCATGTAGGAAAATACATCAATTTTTCCTATAAATATACAATTAAATGTATGCTGAGAGTGGCGTCATTATTAGACGCAATATAATTGAAATACTTGGAAAATATCAGGAAAAATTGAGAATAAGACGTGCCGGTTTAAGTCCAAGAATAAATATAAAAAGTGACAAAGAAAATAAGTTTAACAAGTTACAAGGTTGACAAAAAGAAAGTGAAATTGGCTGTAGCAAAATATATAACAATATGAACAAAGAATAAAGACACTGGTGAACCAGAATGCAAATGACAACAAAATTCCAGAAAGAGAGTAAGAATAAGAAATCTTGAGAATCATGCAAGATATAAAAGGAAGATAGCCAGGGACAAAGGAGAAGAATATTTAACGGAAGAATGAAAACATAAAAATGCAAAATAACGCGTAGTTGGACCATGTTCTTGCAAAATGAAAATTCGTCATATGAAAATTTCTAATGAACGAAAGCGAAGCATATTTAAAAATGACTATTCGCTTATTAACTGGTCGTTGAAAAAGGCTTTTATTCAAGGGTAAATGAAAGTAAAAAAAAGAAATCAAAAATCAAAATTCACGTAGGTCTAAAACTCGTGTATATACATTACCGGATGAAAATGGTTGTGAGCAAGTGGTATGTAAGAACTTTTTTAAATGCACAGTTTCCATTACAGATGGAAAAATTTCATTAGCTTTAGCACGAAAACAAGAACATGGGACAAATCTTCAAGATGCAAGATCCAATAATAAAACCAATATTGAAGACGAGCAGTATTTGTGTGGCTTCATTAAACTGTTCCCAGCATACGAATCCCATTACTCCCGACAAAATAACATAAAAAGAAAATATCTTTCATCAACTTTGAACATGTCGATCATGTATCGAGAGTGTGAAAAAATGCACAGAAGACTTAAGAAAATCCCTCTCGCTGTTTATGTTTCGCAAAAATTTTTAACACCAAATTTAATTTGCATTTTCCATGCACAACATAAAGATATTTGCCGAAAGTGTGATAGTCTTAATAGTGAAATAAAATCACCTGATACTTCAGAAGAGCGTAAACAGGATCCAAAAATAATTACAGCAAAAAATATCAGTTTCAGTGTTTGATCTTCAGAAAACGCTTCCTACTCCTGAGTTAAGTACAAGTGTAGTTTATTATAAGAGAAAACTGTGGACATATAATTTAGGCATTCATGATAAAGTCAGAGAAACAGGACACAAGTATCTCTGGCTTGAAAGTGTAGCATTTTCTAGCCAGCGATAGGAGCTCAAGAGATAGCTTTATGTTTAATAAACCCTTGAGACGCACTTACCTGACCCAACTGAATATCTGATTTTGTATAGCGATGCTTGCGGGAGCCAGAATGGGAATATAAAGGTGGCTTTAATGTTAAGCAATTACCTTCACAAGTGTAAATCGTCACTCAAAGTTATAGAACAAAGACTTTTTGTATCTGGAAATAATATACTGACTAAAATTCTTTTTGCATTTCTAATGCACCAAACCTTTATTATTCGATTCTATATATTTTTCCAAGATGAAATGTATTTTTTTTAATTTTTACAAGTGGGCCGGCAATTGTTATTAACAATTAACTTATACAAAAAAGCAATTTCACCGAATTGCTTCGGAATTCGGTGAAATTGCTCAAAATATTTCAATTTATTTATTTATTGTCAAAATATTCTAATTTGTACTCACGGTTCAAAGATTATAAAGCTATTTGTAAAATTGCAATTTATTTAGTAGTTTTTTAGAAAAAAAATCCCAAAAATCACTAATTAAGGCATTTTTTCAACTAAAAAATGCAAATAACTCGAAAAGGAAGCATTTTTTGAAAAATTATCAAGAAAGAAAAACTGTTTATTTTGATGAGATACACCTAAAAAAAATTAATTCCGAAGCAATTCGTTGAAATTGCTTTTTTGTATAAGTTATTTGTTAATAACAATTGCCGGCCCACTTGTAAAAATTAAAAAAAAAAATACATTTCATCTTGGAAAAATATATAGAATCGAATAAAAAAGGTTTGGTGCATTAGAAATGCAAAAATAATTTTAGTCGGTTGATGCTCTGCTTATAGGGGTAAACCGCTCGCCTAAGATTTTAGGTTGATTGAAGAGGAAAGAAATCACCATAATCGAATTTTTTATCTCGATGATATTCAGGTTCCATAATTCAATCAGTAAAAAAAATGAATTCAAAATGGTTCAAATATATATAATCAGTAAAAAAAATGAATTCAAAATGGTTCAAATACAGTTCAAAGCAATGAACTCACTAGAGTTCATTGCTTTGAAAATTAAACTTAAAAAAAATGAAAATCTTTGAAAATCTAAACGAAAATTAAAAATACACACTAAAATATGTTTTTAGTTAATACGATGGAGATTTGTTTTTTGTTTATCTAAATTTTTGTTTAGTTTTCTTTATGGCAAATGTGTCTAAACATAGCTTAACACACAAGTTACTCTACAAATATATTTTTATGTAAAGGTAAATGTGTCTATACTTTTTAAACACAGTAATTAGAATAATAACTCGATGAGAGTTTTCATTGACAATGTGCCATTTTTTAGCATTCTGTCCGGTAATAGAAGTGGTGCAAAATAGAAGACACTGGATTGATTTGGGAGAGGCCTATGTCCAAAGTTGGATTACTTAAGGCTGAAGAAGAAGAAGAAGAAGAAGGCCGGTAATAGTACCTTAAAAGTGACAGCATTTGACGTTTAATGGACACTGATGATGTGGTGACTCATCAAACTTGCAATGTGCAAAATAGAGAATTTGTGGAAAAATACTTACAGCCATTTTCTTAACTTCGAACGCATGCAACGTGGCACTGCACACAATCATCTGTAAGCGTTTTCCATCTGATGTAACCTTTGGCATTTGTCTATGTAGTTGTTCGATCAAATTTGTATATCCTTGTTTAAGTAAACCATCAGCTTCATCAAGAATAAAAAATCGGCAGTTGGCTAGAGACAAGTATCCTGTAACAAAAATTTAATAAAAAAAACTTTTTCCACCTACCTCTATCCAAAGTATACATTTCCTGGCCTCATTGTAGGGAGCAAAGTCGTACTTTTTCTCCCTAAGGAGACACAGTACTTTTACTCCCTAGGAAAATCTAAATAATAAAAGTTCACTAGGCTTAAAAGTTCTTTCGTGTAAAAGAAGACAGCTCATTATTTCACACACAGGAAGTGATTAAGTGTTAGAAGGTTGTTTAAATATGTTTGCCTGAATCAAAACGGAGAGTTCAATGAAGATATGAACTCAGATGTTTTTGAAAAGTGATTTTCCTCTATATTGACTCTTGTAGAACCTGAATCAATAATAATAATTGGCAATGCGCCTTACCACAGTCGTTGGTAGCAATTTCTTTTTTTTGTGTATAAGCACCAAATAGAGAATATTAAATAATATTAACACTATTAAAGCAAACTAATATTTTGACAAAAAATTCAAAATAAAAGAATCAACTTATTTACCTCCTGTAATCAGATCCTCCAATCTTCCAGGTGTTCCAACAATTATATCAGCGCCAACGTTCTGAAGATGGGAGATTTGCGTTTTAATATTAATTCCACCTATGACCAGAAGTTCGCGGATCTCAGGATCACTTAAATATTTCTTGAATTTTTTTATCTGTTCGCTGGTTTGTTCGGCCAATTCTCTAGATGGCTAAAAATGTATACAAAAGTTTTACTAAATCAAAAAAAAAATAGAATTATGGCTGAATGTATTCATTGCAAATCAACCGTGGATATTCGAAAAACCCTATGTGTAATACATTCCCCCTTGTTCAATCACAAATTAATCCTTTAATTTGTAATCTCACATTATTCTCAACTTCTTAATCTTTTATAGTTTCACCGTGTATAATTCAAACATTTTGAAAACTATATCGAGTAATATTTTAATAATTAAAGTCTATTCACCTGCAAACCTGTACTTAATAAATGTCAAATAATATATTTCCAAATTGAACTTCATAAGTGTTGCAATAAGGCCTAGATTAAATTGTATTTGTAAGCTTATAGTTCAAAGTTTGTTAGTATGATAGAAGCATTAACCTCTGTGCTAAGGTATACATTAGTTGTGTATCCACAACTTCAACATTTCATTGTATTTATCATCGTCGATCAAGAAGAAGCGGACAAAGGGACATTACAAAACGATTCGATCCTTATAACTACATTCGAACTTATAACTACATTCCTACCTGTTTTCCTTAGTCAAGGAAATGAAGACATGAATCATATTTTCTTTGAATTTAACAAATATGTTACAGAATCACATAAATTGTTTAAACTTGCTACTACCGTGTTTAAAACTAAACTAGTTGTTTAAACTACAGCTGCAATCCTTGTTGCTCTTATTTCGGATGGCAAAAGGTATCCTTGTAAAGGTATATTGTTTCAAAGGCCCAAGTAACTTTCTTTTAGACATGTACCACAAAAGTTACATTTCTGCTTTCTTTGAATTATAGTTTTTTCTTGGTAATTGTAAAGGTTTGAATCTACCAAAATAATTTAAACTCTTGCTTAAGGATTAACGGTACTTAAATAAGATTGAACGATTATAGTATTGAACCATATGAAGCATTCATACTGGTCTACTATTGCTAGGGGGAAATGTCAAACATAGGCTGATGTCACATTTGACATTTCTACTGAACAGTCTGTAGAGTCTTTGGTTTAAGAGATTTAAGACCAAACACACCCTAATATATAACAGAGTTTGTATCATTTTATTAGAAATAATATAAGAGTTCAAGTTCAAAAGTCAATATATTCATATATTTGCATCCCTACGAATATTACAGAATTTTCTAAGCCTTTACTGTACATATGACATACCTCAATAATGATTGCTTGTGGTGCGTTGTTCATGAGCTTGATTCCTTGACCAGCTTCATCATTTTGACCATTTGTATTTTTAAAAACTTTATCGTTGGGTATTCCGATTATTGGTTTGTATTCATCAGGTAAACTATGCTTAAATGGGGTACCTCCAAAGTTAAACTCCATTTCTGCATTCTGAAACAAAGATAGAGATAAATTTAAATATGTTTGGCATCATCTACTGTCTGTTCATGGTTTTTGAAGGGAGTTAGTAAAATAATCATTAAACATGTGTGGATTTTCACCATTTTATAAGATAATTTTAAACAGATTCTGAAATTTTTAAGTGTGTATGTGTTGTTAAAAATAATGTTGATGCTAATTTTTCAAATAATGTATTACTTGCAAAATGATCTCATTTAAAATTATATTTTTTATAAAACATAAAGTTTTACAAAACATGCTATAAACCGATCATACTGTAGTCAATTGGCTTATTATACATCTTCCATTTATCAGTGATACTCATTCAAGTATTCTGAAACTATGTACCGGCTTGTACATGTCTACTGGATAGGTAGAATATGTTTTTGGAATCGCTTGGAAGTCCCCAAAAAGTGTTTATAACCTGCGATCTACTGCTTCGCAGTCATGCAAAAACTAATTGACTGTTTCAGACTGACTCTGCTACATAGTCTGCAGCTAAGTCACTGTAAGCTTGCTGAAGATAGCTTACATATGAATCTTTGTTCATTTATGTGAAAATTCAGTGTTTCATTTTGCATAGTGTACATATGTTTAGGGGGGAGGGGGAGAGACTTCGCACTCATTGTTTATAATAATATGACTTACCTTTAGAACAACTGCTGGAAACATTCCCTGACTAATGATTTGTTTATCAGCTTTAAAAGCTGTACCGAGATTCACTCCATTTTTCAAAAATTTTATTTCTCCTGAGTCTGCATCCAATAGACAAGTGATGACGTCGCTCTTGCCAAATGGTTCTCCATAGTTATCAAATTGTTTATTGTTTGACTTCTTCCCTGTGCCTCCGAAACCGAAACCTAATCTAAAAAGACATACACGATAGAAACCCAATACTTTATTTTGTATAACAGTTATAGGACAAGTTTTGAGTAGAATTTTCATACTCTAGGTCAGGTCTACCTTGAAGTTAGACTTAATATAACTGTGTGCTCTGACAATGACAAGAACAAACAAATCATGTCTGTATCTAAATGTTTGTATCTAAATAGAATGTGAAGAGGGCATTCATTAGAGTCATTTTCCGAATACTGGAAAACTTCATTTTTAACACACAACAGGATTAATACACACATAAAATACATATTCTTCACTTTATATATAGGCACATCAATATTTAAAAGATTCTAGCAGTAATCTTCCTTCTACCATTCTTTGAATCTGTCCATTCCAAGGAGTTCTGTGTTATCTTACTCACTCATTTATTTTTCTATTATTAGATAATTTCATATTATCGAGTGTAATCTTTAAAAAGTCTTAGAAGTTATATTGCTTCGCACATTTGCCTTTCTTGTCATTTTTTCATTGTTCAGATCTAACTTTCATATATTTCAATGATTAGGAATTTTGAGAATGATCTGCAAGGTAGAAATCAAAATGTCCAATATAAAGTATTTTCAATTAAAATTGTGGTGTATTACAAGTATTTTTTCTTGTTCTATTTCTTAAGCTTCTATTGATAATTACACAAATACTTACTATTGAATTTGTTTATGTTGTTGTTCAATATATTACCTACAGTTACGATAAGTTTCCTACATTGGATCAGCTAAACAAAGATCTCACCTAACAAATTGAATGATTTATTCACTAATGTTGCTTGTAACTTTCAGACATGTTGCAGAATGTTATTCTCTCATTGAAATTGGAGATATTTTAACTAATATAGTGAACAAGATAAGCAGAGACTACTTTAGATTCTCTGTTGGTGCAATAAAATGAGTGAATTAACTCATTGATAGTCTAACAACACTTATAAATCACAAGAAGGGTGACAATGATGACCCATCCAATTATAGGCCAATATCACTCCTTCCTAGAATATCAAAGGTATTTGAGAAATGAATGGCAGCAATGATTATGTATTTTGAATTCAAAAATGTGTTCTAATAGTCAGTTTGGTTTTAGAAGGACCAAAGGCCATCATGGACCTAGTGATGAATAATAAAGAGGATTTTGAGCAGAGCTGTTATCTGTCTGCTACATTCTGAGACCTGAGTAAAGCATTTGTTTATGTTTCACATCAACTGATTCTCAGAAAATTGGAGAGATAAGGGTTTGGGGGTACTAGCATTGCAATGATCTCAAGCTATCTCTCCAATAGAAAGCAGAGTGTGCAGGTGGGTGAAATGAGGTCAGCAGAGAGAGCAATAAATATCAGATTAGCTCAAGGGTCAATATTACCACTTTTACTTATAATCTACATTAATGATCTTCCACAGACAGACCTCACCAATTTATTTACTCTTATTTTTCATTTTTATCATTTACTCAATCTCATTTATTTTCTTATAAAATAAGGTTATTTTAAAATAAAATTATTATTTATATTATTAATATAAATATTAAGACCTGATTTATTGATACAACATCTTATGTCATGCAATAGCTTGCCCTTTATATAAAATGCAAGGAAATATAAATTAATTACAAACTATTTTCTGCCTACCTGTCAGTACCTAGATCCAAATTTGCTGTCAGTGTAGACCAACCTACTCTACAAAGTCCTTCATCAGTTACAGTGGCTTCAAATCCCCACTTTCCACTGTTTACTCCCCTTGTACATCTGACTCCATGCCACTCTTTTTGTTCTCTTGATTGCACCCTTTTACCATCAGGAGCTACCGCTATAGCGTTTCCTCTGTCTAGAGTTGACATTGTCCATGGAAATAGCTATAGAACATATTTTATAGAAATAAGTTTTTAAATTACCTTCTTGATTTCAAGTTCAGTACAAAGGCACAAATCTTTTGTATATGTGGTGTAATTTTAATTATTTCTATAATAATAATAATAATGCAATAATCATAAAATAGATGTGTATAAAAATGGCCTTTTTAAATTTAATCTTTGATGGGATGACTAGTACAATGCAAATGTTTTGATTCTAATTAATGACATTACACTACATAGTTATTAGGTTTGCATCAATTTTTAAAATGTACATGAAAAATTATAGTTTTGCACTCCCCCCCCCCCCACCAAAAAAGATAACCACTATAACCACTACATTGTTTGGTGCCTCTACTAAGTAGTTTCCAAATAGGTTAATACAAAAAATTGTATCAGACACAAAATAAAAAACAAATTGTATGTAACAATTCATATCTTATTATATGGTTTTTGCATATTAAAACTTTAATTTTACACAGAAACAAACTATTCAAAAGGGACATTTACACATGCTGTTTTTAGCTGCCTTAGCTGATTTTCCAGATTGTATATCCTTTAAAGTTTCCCATACTATCTGAATAACTGGGAGACAAAATGCCGCTGTTTTTCCACTACCAGTTTCGGCAGCCATAAGTACATCTCCTCCACCAAGTACCAGAGGAATTCCTTCAGCTTGAATATCAGTAGGTAACCTGAAAATATTTTAACTTAAACTATGACTATGTACCTAACAATGTAATTATAGTTTTATAAACTATATAACTATACTTACATCCAAGCCAATTCATCTAAAGCCTTTGATATTTCTGGTAGTACACCAAATTCTAAAAGTAAATAAGAACAATAGTGTAAAAATATTATTTTAAATTTACAGTATTTTACCTTCAAATGCAGTCATTTTTCACAAAACTCTTGAAATCTGTGTATATAATATTTAATTACAGCAAGAAATCTAATGAAAAATGAAAACTCTACAATAACCTAACCACAACTGTCACCAAAAAACCGATGCCGATGACCGATGTGAACTTAGCAATTCACTATTTGTCAACCCGGTGCGTTCGTAGCGTAGTTCTCTGGCTGTGGACTGAAATATATAGTGTGTTCAATTAAGTCCGCATCATATGGGAAATTTTTTAATTTTTTTTATGAACAAAGTTCTGCATGTTATAAAACCTAAAATACAATCATCAAATATTAAATTTTTTGAGTCATATACGAACGAAAATTGTCAAAAAATAATATGAACAGAGTATAGTATGTATTGTGAATATGAACATAAAATACATATTTTTTGACAAACCGCCCATATGACTGAAAAAATTTAATATCTGATGTTTGTATCCTATGTTTTAGATGAGATGTCACCAATTATATTCCCTGAAAGTCCGTTTCGAAAGCCTACTACACTTCCGCGGTCCGGACACTCAGCACAAAACCAGACAGTGGCGTAACCGGAGGGAGGGGTTACCAAGAAACCCTCCAGTAGTTTTAACCTCCCCTCAGGAAATCATACTGGTTACGTAGTTGAAACCAGACAACTAGACCACCTCGTTTAGGGAGGGATATGAAATAAACTCAAGGAATAAAATGATTAAAAAGCTGTTATATTGTTTTTTCGCCAGTCTTTTTTTTTAATAAATTTTTGCGGCGTATTGTGTCTGCTGCCTTCGCTGGTCTATACCATTAGGCTTGAGTGAAAAACTGTTGCTTAACAGTTGCAAAACATTTTCAATTTTGTGGAAATCAGCAAATCGTTTTTTTAAATTTCAAATCAAGTTTATTAATAAAACGTGATAACTATGTAACATCAATATCTTTATTACTATCACAACGGATTTAAGGAGAGGAAAATGCAAAAGTTCTGCTTAATATACTTACAAAAATGTTCAATATTTTTAGAAAAACTTCGAGTATCCAGAAAGTTCACAAACAAGATTTCCCTTGCATTATAGTTTTAATTTTAAGAAGTTCATATGTCTGAAGATATCCGCCAAAAACGTGATAGTTGCAACGTTTTCTGTGTCCAAGAGGAAGCCCAAATGATCATTTGCAGCTTCATTCAGCATCAATAGTGTACAGAAATTCTTTTATGTTTAGTATTACAAATATTTCTATGTTTATCACATTAGTACTGTGTGTTTTTAAAATTGTAAAGATATTTATATATTTAAATTTGATTATAATTTTACACTATAATTTTATTGCTGTATTTTGACTTTAACGGCGTTCCGCAAAAAAACAAACTCACGGTCCAGATGCGGACCGCGGTCCGCAATTTGGTGACCCGTTTTAGGTCATTAATAAAACAGTTTCCCATATATGGTTCAGACTTAATTGGACGACAGAATACACTTAGTGAATAGTGTATTCACAAGACCTGTTCACAAGATAGGTGTATTCTGTGATTGGACCATATAAAATCCAAAGAGTACTTAATGGATACTGATGTATAAAGGTAGCTTTACATCTAGCCATGCAAATCTCTATGTAAGCCCGTCTTGCATGACATATTTCTTGCCTAGCCTGATCTGTTTGCATCAGAGACATATCTCTGCATCAGAGCCATATCAGAGCTATTTTTGTGTCCACTTTCACCGTTGCCAACAGAAGAAATATATCAAAACATTAACTTTATATATTTCAGTCAAGCATTAAATACATATAAATCACCAATTATTATACATTCAATAAATATAACATTTAGACTTATACACTAAAGTTAGTTTTATTTAAAACTATATCTACATTTTGTTATACTGGCAACATGAATTTTGACGATAAATTCCATCAAAATAGGACACGTTCTGATTTTTCGACTAGCAGATATTGCTTGGAAATATCGCGTAGGCATGCGCAGTTGCATAAAAATTGCATAATATAAGTCGACGATAATATGTATCATCAGATGCTTTAAAAACTCACACAACTGACACTTTTTTTTCGTCTTTATAGAGGGGGGTATGGAATCTTCAAAAGACATCTCAGTCCAGGACGCCGCCTGACTGACCTTAGTGCATTATTCGTTCTTCGTACTCCCGGCGATAGTTCCCGAGGTACTTTAAAATGCCCTCTCGTCGCCGAGTCTACGCCGAATGCCTACCTGCTAAACCAGACCCTCCTCTGTCATCCAGCAATCCGGAAGCGGAATGGCCGCTGTAAGGCCGGCATCACTTCCGAAGCACTACCTTTATTCATTCATTCTTCACTCATACACATCCACACTTTATTTATCAGCAAGGAGGCTCCCTGCCTCGTTCCAGGTAGCGCGTAGAAGACACTCCTATGAAATCGTAGGCTTCCACGGCCAGAGTCAGAATTATAGTTTATTCGTCTTCCGGTTTGGACCGTGTCATTTGTGAGTGACCCAAAAGTGGGTTCATCTCGACGTTTCGCTACAATTGTATGTAGCTTCTTCAGGAGAACAAAAAAGGAAAAGAAAGAAAGAAGAAAACAAAAGAACAGGAAGATGGGTAGTTAGCAACGGTAACTCAGTTACTCAACGCAACCAGAGGCGAATACTAACTACCAAGATGGGCATTTGGTCACAGTAACTCAACGCAGCCAGAGGTGAAAACCAAATGCCAGGACAGGGATTCACGTCCAACAGCTCAGAACACTAACGCGTCGAGAGGCGGGGAGTGAATCCGGATTCACTCCCGCCTCTCGACGCGTTAGTGTTCTGAGCTGTTGGACGTGAATCCCTGTCCTGGCATTTGGTTTTCACCTCTGCTGCGTTGAGTAGTTGAGTTACTGTGACCAAATGCCCATCTTGGTAGTTAGTATTCGCCTCTGGTTGCGTTGAGTAACTGAGTTACCGTTGCTAACTACCCATCTTCCTGTTCTTTTGTTTTCTTCTTTCTTTCTTTTCCTTTTTTGTTCTCCTGAAGAAGCTACATACAATTGTAGCGAAACGTCGAGATGAACCCACTTTTGGGTCACTCACAAATGACACGGTCCAAACCCGGAAGACGAATAAACTATAAGACACTCCTAGTTCGGCAATTATCCCAGACGGGCATTTCCTCCTTCCCCACAGTCTGACTCACGCATTCTAACTCAACCAGTGTGACCCACTTTTCTAGCTTCACCTTTCAGCATCATTCACCCTTGCCTTTGCCGTTGATCCAGCTGTCTTTCTTCAGCAGCTTCTTGATCACTGCACGGATATAGCTGTGTATCTTAATCCAACCTAATTTATTTTCAATCATTCTCTCAATCATTTCTCTCACTGTAAAGGCAGCTTTACATCTAGGCTATGCAAGTCTCATGCGATGCAAGTCCGTCTTGCATGGCACATCTCTTGCCTAGCTTGACCTTTTTACATCAGAGATATTTCTGTGCAATTTTAGATCCCACTTTCATTGTTGCCAACAGAGAAAATATTTATCAATTTCAGGTTATTTTATTTAAATAAATATAATTAAGTACTAAAATAAATAATATAATAAATAAATATACACTATTTATGGTTATTAAAAGGGTGAAGGATGTCAACCAAAGAAAAGAAAAACATTGTTAGGGCGAGCGCCCACCAAAGTGGCGTGGCAGTGGCAAGTAGCAAGTAGCACGCGTCTAGCATAATGTAACCAATCCTAACGAATGATTAGAATAAATGACGTTACTGTCATTTTGGTGTAAACTGAATCATTCGTTTTCATTGGTTACATTATGCTAGACGCGTGCTACTTGCTACTTGCCACTGCCACGCCACTTTGGTGGGCGATCGCCCTTATTGTTGAATATTGCTGTTGTAGCAACAATCATCCATAGTCAACGACTCACCCAGTCGTTTTTACATTAACTTTAGACATAGTATATCTATTTATCACCACTTAATAAACTTAATTTAAATCAAAACACAACAATACACACGTGGACTAAGGGACGCTAAAGATAGAGATAAGGTTATGTTTTATTCTGTAATCTATTATAAATTGTTATGTTGGCAACATGAATTTTAACGATAAATTGCAAGAAAATAGCATGAAAAATAGAACATGTTCTAATTTTTCGTCTAGCACAGGAATTGCATGGAAATAGCCCGTGGGCATGCGCAGTTCCATGATCTGTCTTGCATGGCTCTTGCCTAGCATGAAAATAGCATAATGTAAAACTGTCTTAATAAAATTCACAGCTGTCTCTCCATTCTGTTCCTTTCCACTATTCATCTGCTGCAATCTAACATCGTATGTGTCACAGTGTCCGAGTATCCACAGCATAGACATTCATCGGTATCAGCCTTTCCGATCCTATAGAGGTAGGCCCTAAAACACCAGTGTCCTGTGAGCACCTGCGTCAGGAAATAATCCAGTCACCTGTGGCCACAGTCCACCCAATCTCTTATGTTCGGGATCAGCATTTTCGTCCACTGTGCCACATCCTCCGTGTTGTTCCATTCTTCTTGCCATCTTTCAACTGACCTTTCCCTTTCCGGTCTTCTCTCAGCCACAGTAAGGTTTGGGCTCTTCTCTCATAAAGCTCTTTTCTTTCCACCGCCAAAACATGCAACGGAACTCATCCAGTGATGGTCCATAAGACTGCCGCAGACACAGTTCTGTAGGCGCATGCCACTCCCAACAGACTTGTTCTGTCTACTCGTGTCATAAGACTCCTATAGCCCGTTATCTCTACCGCCTCGTTCCATGATACAACTACACAACTGACACTAGCCATGTCAAATTAGTGGCGTTGTGCACTAGCTCTTTTTTACTTTATATTTGATACCTCGCGGTATTAACAGCTGGCAACCCTAATTTGCGACCATTTTTTCTCATGCAACCTTATATCATCGTATTTGAAAAAACAATTAGCTTTCATTTGATATAAAAAAAAATGCATAGACGTTATGTGCAGCATTTTTTATTTAAAAAATAAATGAACGAAATTTTTGTTCAAAAATTAGTTACTATTAATTTAATTAAAACTATTTGCGGCCACTTTTTGACTGGCAAACTGTTATCAACCTATTCTCCTATTCTTAAATGTATATGAAAATGTGTTTGATTAATTATGTTATGAATGTAATGATCTTGCACTGGGATCTGGAAATATTTTATGGATGATAACAGCAGACCATATGGTAGGTACGCAGATAGGGTCTTAAAATATTCAGTTGAATATCTGCCCACGAGAAACGTGAAGAAGAGGAAACGTAATTCACGAAGTTAACGTTAACAGCATTTACTGAACAGTTTTTCCATTTGAAATTGTCTTAATTTGTGTGAGAAACCCATGGTTAAGTTAGGTTGTACGTACAATGGTACCAAATGTATAACATCATGCCTTCAGAAGTAGAGGGCTTTTGTTTGTGTAGTGGTTATAAATAAAACATTCTCGTTAAAAAATATATTCAAAAAAATTAATTACAGGATTACTCTAAAATTTTTTAATGTGATTAATAATATTCAATATCTGGCTTCCGATTTCTTCGTCTTGATTTGTCCAAGATACATATACACTTTTTTGATCATCGTCGTCATCTCCTTCTACTTTAACAAGTACAGATTCAACTGAAATCTCACCTTCTGAGAATGTAACTGAGCAAATAGGCAATTTATCTTTAATAAATAACAATAATTTATGTGCCGTGCCCAATGTCGGACCTGTATCGGCAATATGAACGGTAGAAGTAAATCTTACAACGTGTCTATTGATTCCAGCTTCTTTGCACGCGTCGTCCACATCCATAAGACACATTCCGTTATCTTTCATAACTAGGACACCATGAAGTGTGCGTCTTCTTTTTGGATCTGGAACCATGCTGCTAAACCTGTAAAATGGTGAAATTATTCATCTTAATCTCAAGAGTTTCAAGCTAGAGGATCGTTGGACGAGGAGGATATAGAAAAAAATATCAAAACGTCATAGACTTAGTTCTAAAGTTGAACTCATACTAAATAGACCAAGAAGATATAACCTATTATATAACTATAGGCCATGGAGTTGGGTGTCTACGTTAAAAAAAATGATGTGCAGACTACCCTCCATGCTATGGCATGCTGGATGAGCCATACAATCTGTAGTCAACACCCCGAGGTAAGAGCGGGAACCATGGACGTATAAACAACCATCTGTGTTTATACGTCCATGGCGGGAACACAAAGTGTATTATTACTCATAAGCTTATGAAACGCACCTGGCACATCATAAGGGCCTTCACATTTTATTCTTTTTCAACTTGCCTTGAGGAAAAATGTCTTTAATCTTTCCTCCAGCCTCTTTTGGCTAACTCTTGTCTCTTCCGACCCCGAATGGCTGTTAGGTTTCCGAATGCAGACGGGTCACTATATTTCTTTCTCCTACATTCTCATTCACCGAATGATTGTCGGTATAAGCTATCCCCCACTAACTGACCAACGGCCTCGGGCGGATGAGTTAGTAAGTGGTAGGGCACTTTTAGTCCTGGGGTTGAGAAATTGGCTCCAAAAGCAGGATGAACCTATTAGTGATCAATGGCATAAGGATGTAGAAGGCAACGAAAAACCACTACATTAAAGATCGTCAGATTTTCCTAGAACAATATCCATGCAAAGTAAGATCAATCACATGGCCCCTAGTCCGCGGCGGACCTTTAATGGTCGAGGGGTGCTAAGAATCTCCGCGAGGAGGAGCCACGCGAATGTGACAACTAATTATATAGAGAACAAATCCTTTTTAAATTTCGGGACATGGAATGTGAGGAGTTTGTTCGAACAAGAAAAGACGCACAACACGATTCAGGAAATGAACAGACTTGACCTAGAGATATTAGGCATAAGCGAAATGCGCTGGCCTGGTTCCGGTAAAACATTGGTCATGGATAAAACGATATACTATCCGGAAATGACACCCGAGATCATCTATATGGAATTGGAATAATTATCTCCAGGAGAATCCAAGCAACTATTGTAAATGTTGTTCCCTTTTCGGATAGAATGCTATTATTACAAATACAGGGTAAGCCAGTGAACATTAATGTAGTACAAGTGTATGCTCCAACTGCAGATAAATCAGAAGCTTAAATAGAACATTTTTATGAACAACTCAAACAACTTCTATAATACTCAAGAAAGGAAGAAATTACTATAATAATGGGTGATTTAAATGCAAAGATAGGAAAAGGCAGAGTCGACAATATAATAGGTGATTATGGTTTAGGAATAAAGAATGCTAGAGGCGACAGATTGGCTCAATTTTGTCAAGAAGAAAACCTGGCGATTATGAACACATGGTTTCTATTACCACCCCATAGACTGTATACCTGGAGTTCACCACAGAATATTGAACAAAATTGCATTAGAAATCAGATCGACTTTATTCTAACCAATCTAAGATTTAGAAATTCCATTGTAAGCATTAAGACTTTTCCTGGAGCAAATGTCCCCTCAGACCATAACCCCTTGTCTCAAAAATGAAACTGAGGGTAAAATAGATAATAAAATCCAAAAAAGTTCTAAGGTGAATACTCAGTTACTCAAGATAAATGAAATCCGTGCTGAGGCTTCAACTTGCATCAATCAAGAAATGAAGTAATTAACATCAGAAATGAAAATCACTGAGAATGTGAACATTATGTGGAGCAAAATCAAAGATTCTGTTATAAAAATACAGAAATAAACTCTACAAAAGAAAACAGAAAGCCGAAAACCTTGGATGACTCAAGAAATACTGGAAATCATGGAACAAAGAAGAAAATATAGGAACAAAAACCCAAATAAGTACAGAGAAAATATAAATTAATAAGGAACAAAATAAAAGAGGTTGAGGAAAAGTGGATAATGGAAATATGCATCGAAGTGGAAGAATTGCAGAAAAAGCATGATCATTATAATTTACATAAAAAAGTGAAAGAATTATCTGGAAAATCACGAACAAATAACCCAATTGAAATAAAACAAGTATGGACTAAATACAGAGTGGCCCAAAAGTCTGGAAACGGCTAATTATCTCGTAAATTGCTAGTTATAATTGTACAAAATTTGAGGTACACCTATTTTGGGATACGGAGATTCCATATTTGATATTTGCAATGTTGCCAGATTTGCCGTTTCTCTGATATTATTAGTAACTTTGGTTTTTCAAATGCATCACCCTGTATATTCAGTCATTATTAGAATCTTCTATTCAATACGAGTTCAACTATATGTAACACTTATGATTTCTTATAGTCTGGAAGGTCTTAAATACATAAAACAGAAGTCTGCCAACGCCTAATTGTTTCAATACATTTTTTTATACTAATTATTTTCAATTACATTAAAACGTAACAATTGATAGATTAGACCATTTTTTAACAAAAGTTACGTTATTAAGTGTTCAAAATATGCTCAATTTGTGAGTTGACAGTACCCTAATCGATGGTAGAATGCGTCTACCACATTTCTCCATGATTGTCTAGAAATTATTTGAGATTAATCGATAATTCGTTGCCTTTGCTCTGCAAGACTTGGCTGGTTAAGTTTTGTAAACTGAATTTTTCAAGTATCCCTAATAAAAATAATCTTTAGGATTGAAATCGGGTGAACGTGGAGGCCATTCAATTCTACCTTGTCTACCAATTTATCGTACGGAAAATATCTCACTTAAATAAAGCCGAACATTTACACCAACTATCTGACGTTAAATTTCCTTCGATAAAAAATTACCCAATTGACTAAGTACCTACTATACCTGATCATACACTTAATTTTTGTGGCCTGGTATGGTTTTCACGCACTCAGTGTGAATTTCATACGAGTTCAACTATTCAATACGAGTTCAAAAATATGTAACACTTATGATTGTATGTAGTCTGGAAGGTCTTAAATACATAAAACAGTGCAAAATATGTAGATTTTAATAAATTTAAATATTTAAATGTAGAATGCTGTGATATTGACATTTGTTCACGATTTACATTATAAACTAAAACTGACAGTAGTTGTGTTTCGAAAAGTTCTGCAATTTAAATTGCTTCTCTAAAATACCATTCTCTAAACCGTTCTCCTATTCATAAGGCGACGGTACAAAAAACTGTAAAGCGATTTGAGAAATCTGAAGAAGGTAAAGACAGATGGAAAGAGAAAAGTTTTGTTGAAGATCCACATACATTCTCAGGCAGGGTTGCGCAAGTACATGATGTAGGTCGTTCTTCAGTCTTACGTATATTACGTAAAAATAAGTTTAAACCATACAAAATAAACTTATTGCAAGAATTAAGTAAAGATGACTTCGATCTTAGATTAGAGTTTACTAAGGTAATGATGGATAAAATTGAAAATTATTAAAATTTCGTTAACAGAATATGTTTTCCGATGAAACAATCTTCACACTGTGTGGAAGTGTAAATCGACACAATTTAAGGTACTGGAGTGACGCAAATTCACACTGAATGCGTGAAAACCATACTCAAAGACCACAAAAATTAAATGTATCGTCAGGTATAGTAGGTACTCAGTCAATTGGGACATTTTTTATCGAGAAAAATTTAACGTCAGATAGTTGGTGTAAATGTTCGGCATTATTTAGATGAGATATTTCCCGGACGATAAATTGGTAGACAAGGTAAAATTGAATGGCCTTCACGTTCACCCGATTTCAATCATAAAGATTATTTTTTTTAGGATACTTGAAAAATTCAGTTTACAAAACGTAACCAGCAAGTCTTGCAGAGCTAAGGCAACGAATTATCGATGAATCTCGAATTGTTTCTAGACCATCATGGAGAAATGTGATAGACGCATTCTACCATCGATTAGGGTACTGTCAACTCATAAATTGAGCACATTTTGAACACTTAGTAATGTAACTATTGTTAAAAAATGTTCTAATCTATCAATTGTTAAGTTTTAATGTAGTTGAAAATATTTAGTATTAAAAAATTTATTGAAACAATTAGGCGTTGCCAGACTTGTGTTTTATGTATTTAAGACCTTTCAGACTACATAAAATCATAAGTGTTACATATGGTTGAACTCGTATTGAATAGGAAATTCCAATAATGACTAAATATACAGGGTGATGCATTTAAAAAACCAAAGTTACTAATAATATAAGAGAAACGGAAAATCTGGCAACATTGCAAATATCAAATATGGAATCTCCCTATCCCAAAATAGTTGTACCTCAAATTTTGTACAATTATAACTAGCAATTTACGAGATAATTGGCCGTTTCCAGACTTTTGGGCCACTCTGTATATTGAAGATCTTTTCATGGAGACAAGAACGGAACCAACACAAATTGATAATAACTAACTGCAACTAATATCAAAAGAAACAAATATTCATTCGTTTGTGTTTTATGTAAATTTAAAAAATTTTAAAAAATACCCAATTTCATAAAATAATATAATAAAATTGTACTTTTTCAAAGCATATTTGAGGCACAAAACATATACGTAATAAGGACATGGCAGTACCGCAAACACAAATTTGACATGACGTTTATAGCCAACTTCATCGGCACTTTCTCTATACTTTTGCCCATAATATCATATAATATAATCAAAATGTACTTTTTAAAAGTTTTCGCTCTTTATACGAAGCATACAACATGCATTATAAAGGGATCCCAACACTGCCAAACCCAAATATGGTTCCATGGTTGATATTTGTGGCTATATTCAGCTTGAACTTTCATTAAATTAAAGTGAACCCCAAAAACAAATGTATAGTCCATGTTCTCTGAAGTAAAGATATTTATTCTCTATTCTCTTGGTACGTATCTGGTTATCTTTTATCTTATCTTATAACATTTACTTTTCACTTTATCTGCGATTTTTATAGTACCAAAAAAATTACATAGATCTCG